GCATTACTTTCTTCATCTTCCCTCGAAGTTTCTGAAGCCTCCCTGGTGGCCCCCAGTTTGAAAAATMCTGTTTTATCAGCCAGAGGTCACCAGTGTCTTTTACACTGAGGTCTGTTCAGAGGGGCAGTACGAGGGTGAAGAACAGCAGTGATAAGAGACGACCCTGGTGGTCCTGTCCTCCATACTTCACACAGAACAGGAGCTGGTTCAGTGGAAGGCCACAGTCACTGACACTCAACAAGTTTTCAGGCCACACGACTCCATTGTTGAAATATAGGAAGGACCCCCACACMTGAGAAAGTGGTCCCAAGACAACTGCATGGCATTTTTCCCTCCTGTTGAAAATACAATTTACAAAAACTTTTCTTTCTTCTTTTTTGCAGTGTAGAGCTACAGGCACAGGGTAGCATTTATTTGAATAATTTTATTGTACATATAAAGTTGGCAATCTGCAGGTCTATGCCATAAAACATGCTAAAACAAATAAAAACTAAAYGAATTTATTTTTCAAATGTTATTACAAAAAAACTGTATTCATTGATTCATTCATTCATTTTTTTCAGACAGTTATCAAGAATTTCATTACATGGATTTAACACGTATTATCAATATAAAGTACAATCAGCTTGTRTTTAATTCATTAAATTTAACACCACACACAGTAGTTTCCATTAAAGAAACGTGTGACGCATCTCTCTCTTGTAACATCTCTGTAACTCTGCTGCGGAAATGACCAGTTAGCCACATTAGCAGCAACACGTTAACAGGTCCGCCATCTTGGGAAGGTACAATTTGTTAGGCCGGTTCTCTTGAACTAATGAAGGAACACAAGTGTCGCGATTTTAACAGGACTAAAAGTGGTTTGAGATTTAAATAAATAAATAATATAAATAAATAAATAAACAAACAAACCTGCTTGGTGCAACACATTGTCTCAGAAGCATTTTAAATATCCAACCAGAATGATCCCATAAGGTTGTTTCTTTTAAAAAGCKTTGCAAGGTGCAGCCTAACATTTGATAAAATATTCGTGGGGGTGCATGTATATATTTGACCCCATGAGAATGAAAAACAAATGCACAAGAAATTCAAAACTATTAATCTTTTTTTTTGGTTTCACCCCAGAAACAAAATGGTTCAAATCGATCAATAAACAGGGTTCATGCAGGTTTCAGTAAGTTAACTTTAAGACCTTTTAAAGACCATCAGGATTTAAGACCAAACCGACACATTAACAAAAACATTTAAATAGTCCCAAAAATTTTAACATAGAAACCTTTTTATTATCAATTTAGCCATTAAAGAATAATTAATTTTTATACAAGAAGACTAAATTATTTTAATGAAAAGGTCATATCTATATGAGACACCTTCATATCGACTGCTGTGGACCACTTCAAGAGTACAAAAATGACTGATTTCAGCCAAGTCTCATTGAAAACACACTTTCCCATGTTTAAAGCACAAGCAGAGGACATGACTGAACTTCTTTGTTTTCTGGGCAGGTGAACAAGATGC